TCCTTGTATATATAAACCTCTGTACGTAAATCCATAATTTACAAAAGTGTAATTACTGGATCGAAGAGTATGTACAAGAATATTTTTATCATTTTGATGATTATTCCCTAGTCAGTCTCCAAAAAAGTTGTATTGATTCATGCATCCACCAGTAGAGTAACACAGTGCCCATTTCTCACCACCCTTACCAGCTTCAGGCATTATAAAATACAGTCGTATTTAGAGGCAAATTCAGTGGGTGAAAATTAGATTTCATTGTGTTAATTTGCATGTCTAGTTCAAGTTTCTTCTGTATCTAAGAACACTGTCATGTTAGCCAACGGCTTTTTTTTTTCATGAATTACCTTTTGTGTTCTTTGTGTGGTTTTCTATAGGGGTGATTCTCTTTTTCATATTTATTCATAAAACCCTTTTATATTCAGCATACCAATTGATCTTACTTTGTCATATTGACAAGTAGGAGTTTCAGTGGAACCCTTTTCAAATGTTCACAAGTTCAAAATCAAGGTAGTTCAGGGAAAAGAAAATATCAAATGGGATCATTTGTTTTTGTCAGTTGCTGACTCGGTCTCACTCACAGCAGCCCCATGCATGCAGATGAGAGCTGCTCCGCAGGGTCTTCAAGGGTGTGCACTCTCAGGAGCAGATCACCAGCACTGCCTTGTGAGGTGCCTGGGGATGGGTTTACACCCCCAGCCTTTTGGCTAGCAGTCAAGTGCTTAACTGTTCACACTACCCAGGGGACTCCCAAAATGGGGATGGAATGGTTAACTTGCTTTCTGTTAATAAGGACAGCTGGTTTCTCTTTTATTTGAAATTGTGCCACTCAAACTACATGATAAGGGGCATGAGTGTAAAAAGAGTGTGGGCTTTGCAGTTGGACAGACCTGATTTCAGGATAGCTGCTCTAGTCTCAGGAGCTCTGGTAACACAGTGGGTAAAGCACCCGGCTGCTAACCGAAAGTCATGGTTGGAGCCCACCAACTGCTCCATGGGAAGAAGATGAGGTAGTCTGCTTCCTTGAAGATTTGCTGCCTTAGTTAGCCTTCAGGCCTGGAATTGAACTCATTCCTGTGGCTTCCAGCCGAACAATAGACAGGCATATAGGGTGAACATTTACATCAGATAGATATACTCCTTAGAGTGATCAGTCGTGGGAGAGCAGAAGGGCAGTGTGCAGTACTTGCACAGGGGATAGCTCAGGGGCAGGAATACATGGGAAGGAAGGACACAGGGAAGAAGGGAGGAAGTGGGAAGAGAGCTGTCAAATTGTGGGGACTGCCGTCAACATCATGAAACAAAATGTAAATGAACTGCTGTATGGAAAATGAATTTGCTCTTTAAGCTTTCACCCAAATCATAATAAAGATTTTTAAAACAATTAAAAGATTTAGAGGCTTGGAACCAGTTCTACTCTGTCCTGTGGTGTTGCTGTGAGTCAGAATTGACTTGATGGCAGTGGTTTTTTTTTCTAACTCTGTAGCTAAGGGATGACAGACAAATTATTTAGCCTCTGGAAGTCTCAGATTTCTGTCTGAGGTAATAGGAATCCTTCTGGCCTTGTTTTGAGAGGTAAATAGCTTATGTGTAGTACCTGCTACAGAGGTGGTATTCATTCAATAGTTACTCCATTTCCATATGCCTCAAAAATGTGCTCTTCTATATGTATGTATTCGTGGTTGTTTTCAAAAAAGAGCATGCATATTTCACTCAGCTTACAGTCAGGTATTTGATTATTCATTGATATTTTCCAAATATCTGTGATATAAGTACAAATGAGAGAAGAAGAATTCTTAGTTAACTATGTAAATTATTTTCCTGAGTCTAGGAGAAATTTTAGAGTCCCTGGATGGTACAGATGGTTAAGCACTTGGCTATTAACCAAAAGGTTGTTGGCTCAAAGCCACCCAGAAGCACCTCAGTAGGAAGGCCTGGCCATCTGCTTCTATAAGATCACTGCCATTGAGAGCCCTACGGCATGCAGTTTTACTCTGAAACCCCCAGGGTTGCTACGAGTCAGGTTAGACTCAGCCAGCAGCAACAGGTTTGGAGCTTTTTATTTTGTTTTGTTTTTAGGAGAGATTGACATTTTCAGGCTCAGAGATAAAACCAAAAAACCAAACCCATAGCCATCAAATCAGTTCTGACTCATATTAACCCTATAGGACAGAGTAGAACTGCCCAGAGAATTTCCAGGGCTGTAATCTTTATGGGAGCAGACTGCCATATCTTTCTCCTGTGGAATGGATGATGGGTTCAAACCGCTGACCTCTCATTTAACAGCCAGGCACTTAACCAATGTGCCCCTATGTTCAGGGAGAGTATTAGCAAACAAGGGTCAGTTCCATAAAAGTTGTAGACAGTGGTAATATATGACATCCCAGAGAGAAAAAGAAACAGATGGCCTAAAATTTTTCAAAAATATTTTGATTTTAAACATTCAAATAAAGTCTCAAAATAGTCTTTCACTAAGAACTTATGTCTCTTCACCGATATCAAACCTGTCTTAATTATCCGTCTATTACATGAGTGAAGGGCAAAGCAATATTACCAAAAGCATGTGACTAGCACAGTATCATTAAGGAAAAGGAAGGCATGGAGAGGTACAAAAGAGAGATAGATAATAAAGACAAATACTGTTGCATACACAGTACTGCATTCAGTGTTAGCAAACACTAATCTATGGGTGGATACATAGGTTGACAGGCAAGAAGATCAGGTATGGATAAGTGAATGGGAATATACCCACGACCATACAGAGGTTTGGCGCACAATATTCCTACGTATGTATTTGTTATGTGCTATAAAAATGTCCATGTGCAATTTAAACATAACAAGAGACAAAGTTAGGATAACTTCTTAGCCACAAAAAAGCACCTTGAAGGGAATGAGTCACTGGGCCTACCAGCTGAACCTTGGTGACTGAAGACAGCAAGCTCAATTGGCACAATATGGTATACAAAATTATTGTTCTTCATCTTTGGTGATTAGTAACTGGAGTCTTAAAAACTTACGAGGTGCCATCTAAGAGGCAACTATTGGTCTCCTTGTCCCAAACAAGAAGAGTGAAGAAAATCAAAGACACATGGAACAGTCCACAGGACTCATGGGCCATGAGACCAGAACTAGATAGTGCCTGGCTACCAATGCCAGCTACTCAGAAAGGGATTAAAATTGGAGATCCTGGATAAAGTTGGAGAAAAATGTGGAACAAAACTCAAAATCATAAAAAGAAAAAAAACAAAAAACAGACTGGCCTTACTGGTTGTGATGGTTATATTTGTATGTCAACTTGGCTGGGCCTGGTTGAGTGGCTGGGCAGCTGGATGTAGTATTCCCCGTGATGAGACTGGTCATCAACTCCATGGTGGAATCTACTGGGAGCAGCTGTGTAGCTGCCTTTGGGTATGTGGTCTGCTTCCTGTATATAAGGAGAAGCTTTGAGAATGGTCTCTAGCCTTTGGCACGCTTGGACCCTGCATGTAGCTGTGTCGTTGCTCAGCAGCCTGCTATGCTTTGCCGACCTTGGGACTTACAGTGGACTTAAGTTAATGGCCTTCCGTGTGGATTGGTAACATGGGAACTGTGCCTTTTAACTTGTCAACCTTGGGGCTTCTCAGCCTCAGCAGCCAGCAGCTATTTGAGTGAAGAAACGCCTCTAGCTCCAGTGGGCCAGGAACAGGAGGCAGAGCTGGACCCCAAGGTTGAGGGGCTTTCACGCAGCCCCTAGAGTCTGGCACTTTGAACTTGTACTTAAAGCCTCCAAATTGTAAGAATAAACTCCTGTTTGTTAAGGCCATCCCATTTGTGGTATATTCTTGTCAGAGTGGTGCTAGGTAACCAGAATAGTGGTCTAATGGAGGCTCCTGAGACTATGGCCCAAGTCACCCTTTAGGCCTGTAATTGAACTCACTCCTATGGTTTAAGTCTTAGCCAAACAATAGACAAGACTAAGAGACCACATACACCAGGGAAATGCATTTCTTAGAACAGATTAGAGGGGCAACATTTGCACAGGGAGAAACGTAGGGAGGCAGGAATGCATAGGCAAGAAGGACACAGGGAAGGGGTAACCACAGGGAAGAAGTGAGAAGTGAGCCGTTACACTGTGCGGGAACGTAACCAGTGTCACAAAACAAAATGTGTATGAACTGTTGAATATAAAAGGAATCTACTTTGTAAAATTTTACCCAAATCACGGTAAAAATTTTTTTAAAAAGAAGGAAATGGTCCTTCTTTATAATTCTCTTACTTGCCCAGAGTATTCTCCAACCGTTTTTGAAAATAAGCTTACTCTCTGATTCCTCAATATAGAAAAATGATATTTTACCAAGTGAATTGCTGAATTCAGTCACTGATTCTGTTGTCCATGCTTTATGAAGCTCCCTTTAAAATTAAGATACAGAAAGGGCAATAGATTATTTTGTTTTTCACAGTCAGAATTATTTTGAAATGTGGAATTTCAAGAAGAACAAATGAATCTCTTTCAAAACTGCAAAAATCATTCATATTTTGATAAGCTCTTCTTTCTGACAGCTGATACTTAATATCTGAGAAGAGATAGAAATTACTGGCCAAGACAAAATAACAGCACCGTCTTATCAGTCTGACAACTAGTACGACCAACAGATTCATCTAACGACACCTTTTCTCGGAGTGGTACTTTCGTATTGCCAGATCCCTAACAATGGTTCCAAGTTGTACTAATTATTTAATCAAGGTCTGTGGTGGTGAAAATGCTATGCTATAGCCTTTCTATTGCAGGTCTTATACATGTAATACAATAATATCTCACCTGTTTGGAACTGAGTTCTGCAGCAAACAAAATTATCTATTACAAAACTACGAAACAGAGAATAAAAAAATGAATGGCATCATTCAGTGAAAATAGTCCATGCACTAAAAATCATGTATTTTGTTCAAAGGAAACTCTTCATTCTTTATTAAAAAAGAAAAGGAACTTACTTCTCAATTTTTCCTTTTTTTTTTTTTCCTTTTAGGTGTGGTTGGATCTCTTAAAACCTATTGTGAAACAGATTAGAAGTAAGTATATATAATGTTTAACAGTAATATTTAATATAAAACCAAATGTTTTCACTGTTTAGACATCCTTTGCTCTGAGAAACTCTGGTGGCCCAATGGTTAAATGCTTGGCTGTTAACCAAAAGATCAGAGGTTTGAACCCACCAGCCACTCTGCAGTGCTAAGGATACAGATTCTTTTTTTTTTTTTTTACTCTTTGATTGTTTTTCATCATCACTAATCCATGAACTATTAAAATGTGTCTTCTGCACTTGTAATATATAACAATTTGATAATCAAAACCTCACTTGGAAAATCAAATACCATTTTGATTAACAACTAAAACATGTTATTAAGCCCCAGAATAATTTGGCTTGTCATGGCTATGCTGGTGTATCTTACAATCATTTTTGAAAGGGAGAGGTAGAGCCATTCATTCATAAAACCCCTTGCAGTTTTTCTGTCCTGCATCTTCAAAGCCTGTGTTGTTTGGAAAAATAAGGTACCCAAAATTGTGTGTGTGTGTGTCTGTGTTCCTCTTGATGGCAAGCAGAACTTTGAAGACATTGTAATGTGCACCTAGATTGTGTGTTGTGATGTGCGTCGAGTCAGACCCGACTCATAGCGACCCCTCCCTGGATTTCTGAGGTGGTATCACTGCGGAAGTAGATTGTCCCACCTTCCTTCCGAGGAGTGGCTGGTGGGTTTGAACCGCCAGCTTTCTGGTTAACAGTCAAATGCCTTAGGCCCTACACAAGAGAAAAGATTAAGGAGGATCTGAGACAGTAGTTCTGGTAGTGCAGTAATTAAGTACTCAATTGCTAACTGAAAGGTCAGAGGTTCGAATCTACTAGCTGTGCCGCAGGAGAAAGAGGTGAGTTTGCTTCCAAAAAGATTATAGTCTTGAGCAGTTCTACTCTGTCCTATAGGGTTATTATGAGTCAAAATTGACTTGACGGCAATGAGTTTGGTTTTGGAGTGGAAGAGAGGAGTAAGAAACTCTGGTGGCCCAATGGTTAAGTGCTTGGCTGTTAACCAGAAGGTCAGAGGTTTGAACCCACCAGCCAGTCTGCAGGAGAGAGATGTGGCAGTCTGCTTCCATAAAGATTATAGCCTTGGAAACCCTATGAGGTAGTTCTACTCTATCCTGTATGGTCACTATGAGTCAGAATCGATTTAACAGCAATGGATTTAAGAAAAGCGTAAAGAGCCTAGATGATGCAAGTGGTTTGTTGTCAGCTGATACCCGAAAGGTTGGCAGGCCAAATCCAACCAGTGGTACTGTGGAAGGTAGGCCTAACAATTGGCAATTGTAAATGTTACAGCCATGAAAACCCCATAGGAAAGCTCTACTCTGTAACACGTAGGGGACCTGTGAGCCAGGAACCTACTCAGTAGCAGCTGAAAACAACAGGACAGCAGTGGAGTCCCTGCGTGGTGCATACAGTTAAGCAAGGTGCCTCTGAAGAAAGGCCTAACAATGGACTGAAATATCAGCTACTGAAAATTCTGCAGAGCACAGTTCTACCCTGACACATGTGGGCTTGCCATGAGTCAGAACAGACTCAACAGCAACTGTTTTTTTGTTTTGTTTTGTTTTGTTTTGTTGGTAGGAGTGGAGTAACCAGCTGCCATCAACTCAATTCCAACTTAGGACTGTTCCCTGTGTGTCCAGATAGAACTGTGCTCCCTAAGGTTTTTAGTGGCTGGTATTTAAGAAGTAGATCAGTAGGCCTGTCTTCTGAGGCACCGCTAGTGAATTTGAACCTCTAACCTTTCAGTCAGCAGCTGAGCTGTGAACAGTTGTACACGCCTCAGGGTCTTGATGAGCATGGAATTCAAATAGCTTGTGGGATAGATTTTATGTCTGTTTAACAAACCCCACTGGGGCACTTAAAGCAATTTATATGAATGTAATAAACATACAATGTAGTGTTTGTATGGCCTTTATGCAATTGAAATTGATGTTCATCTTCTATAATTTAATTAATTCTTGATGCTGAAAAATGGAAAAAAAAAATCATTTCTTCAAAATTTACTGGGTGTCCTCAAGGTGGCTGGCAGGTGACTAAATGTGTAAGGATACACTGCTGAGAGAAGCCCCTAGGCCTAATGGGGAGAGGTAGCCCCAAGGCATGAAGGATTGCATTTGTCCCTGGGATGATCCATGATAGGACACATTAGCAGTGAAAAGATACTCTTATTGTGTTACCCAGTGCAGACCCCAAAGACAGTGTCTATTGTTGGCCAGGTCAGAATCAGACAGGTTGTTATCTTTTCCATCTCTTCCATGTGCTTTGACTAGACCTGTGTAACAAAGCTGTCATTTTGTGTTTAGTGTGAGCGTCTTCCTTGCTTCAGGTTTTCTGAGGCTCTGAGTAGCCTCATTAAAATTCAATGCCTGAAGATTACTGAAAGGAAATAGTGAAGCCCTTCTAGTTTAGTCATTTTTCTCCTGTTATTTTGTGCTCCAGGATTGGCATTCTAGGGTTTCTGTTAATGTTTAGAATAATTGGGGAAAAGAAGCTCAGATTCTCCTGGCTTCAGTATGTCCATGTCTTGTTTTTTTGTTGTTGTTGTTGTTTTTTCCTATTTTTGTATATGCTGTCGACATTTCACCTTGTAATAGCTCTTATTTTGCCTTTTTCTAAATTTGAATGTGTTATGCCAGAGGCACAAAATATTTTTGTGATAGTGAAAAATAGAACAAAAAAACTTTTTGCTTTTATCATATTTCTCATAAAATTAGACTTCATGATGTTGTTGTTGTTGTTAGGTGCCATTGAGTCGATTCGGACTCATAGCTACCCCATAGGACTGAGTAGAACTGCCCCGTAGGGTTTTCTAGGCTGTAATCTTTATGGAAGTAGATTGCTAGGTCTTTGTCTAGCAGAGCCACTGGGTAGGTTTGAACCACTAACCTCTCAATTACCAGCCAAGTGCCTAACCGTTGTGCTACCAGGGCTCCTCGGACTTCATTATAGTACCTTATATTTCATAGAATGTGACAGGTGCGGGTTATCCAATAAGCAAGGTTAAGCACTAATCTATAGTGAACAATTTCACATTTTTTCACCATATCAAAGATTCTGCTTCTCGGTACAGCATCTGTCTCTCTCCCAACCCCACAGCAGCTTCCTGCAGAATCAAAGCATCTTTGTAAATTTACGTTGCCTGACAAGGATGGAATACTTAGCTGGCAACGTAAGCACAAGATTACTTGGGTTTACTTATTAATCTTTAGTGAACAGTTTCACATGACCTACAAAACTCATGTGAAATTGTTGACCACAATTAGTAAGTAAGCACAAATAATGCCATGCTTACCTTGATAACTGGGTGATCTGTCCCTGGAATATGAATGCATTGCTCTTATTCCAAATGGGCCTGTAAGACTACTTATTATGTTACGGCTTGCCATGATGATAAAAGAGGCTGACCCAGTTTTAATTTTGTAATTATCTTTTTTTCTATTTGATTTCACAATAGAAATTATTATTCTTATTTTATAATCTACTTGATGTTCAAGGAGCTCTGGTGGCATAGTGGGTAAGGCATTTGGCTGCTAACCATAAGGTTGGTGGTTCAAACCCACCTGCTGCTCCACAGGAGGAAGATGAGGCAAACTACTTCCATAAAGATTTACAGCCTTGGCAACCCAATGGCGGCCGCTATGAGTCAGAATCAACTTGATGGCAGTAGGTTTGGTTTTACTATTATTATTATTATTATCATTTGATGTTCTGGTTTCGTTCAGAATGGAAAAGTAATTCATCTTGTTTGAAGTTTCTCCTCCACCCCCAATCTGCTTCCTGATTTTATCTTAACTTGTGACTGGATAGTTTATGAAACACTTATGAAAGGCTTTGGCTGACTATGACAAAGAGAAGGCCATGTCTTATTTCTGTTTTATTTCCAGAGCGTAAGGAATCATCTGACACAGAGGTGTTAGATACATTTTTGATGAACACATTAGCCATGGATCTTGAAGCTAGTTATATTTTTATATCATGTAAATAAATTACACCAACTGATATATATTTTATTATCTCATTCTTAGATTATTTAAAGCTTATTTGGATAAAAGTTGCTAACTTGATCAATTTTTTAAGACAAATGTTTTTCAAAACCAAGGTCCAATTTAAAGCTCAAGAAGAAAAGGTTCAATAACTCAATGTTATACCCTTGTCAAAGTAATTTAAAAAAAAAAAAAAAAAAAAAGGGATTTTCCCACAATTTAAAAGTGTGAGTTATTAATCTTGGCCAATTGCTCAATGACTTGGGAGCTGGCAGATATGCTCTTGGGAGCTGGGAATAAGATTCATTATTTGGTATATAATATTTCCTGTCAAAGGTGCTCTTGGTGACATTGTGGTTAAAGCATTCAGTTTCTGACCAAAAGTTTGGTTGTTTGAACCCACTAACTGCTCCATGGGAGAAAGATGGAGGCAATTTGCTTCCATATTTACAGGCTTGGGAACCCTATGGGGCAGTTCTACTCTGTCCTAAAGGGTCACTATGAGTTGGAATCAACTCAATGGCAGTGGATTTGGTTTCTGAGTTAGACACTGTCAGGTGTTTTTCTTTAACAGCATTTGAAACACAAATCAATAAATGATTTACTGCTTTTTTTCTTCTTTAGGGCCAAAGCATGTTGTTGTTAAGTTTGTGGTGAAATTCTTTCCACCTGACCATGCACAGCTCCAAGAAGAACTCACAAGGTTAGTGGTTTAGAAATGGGATATTTAATATGGGGTGCAGAGGAAAAGAGAAAACTAAGATTGTAAGTTGATTAACTAAACATCTTCACAATTACTGGATCAATATCTGCTCTTTGCTTAATAATTCAAGCCTGTTTTCTCCCTGATTTCCTTAGAAAAATGGGAGGGCAGATAATACCTTGATTTCCCTAAAACCTGGGTTCTTTAAGGCTATAACCTGGGCTTAAAACCTGTTCTGTCTTACATGAAGTGAACTGGACTTATAACCTGTTTGCTGTTTTATTTTCTCTCATATCTATCACATCAAGAGATAGTTTGGGGATATAAATCTTTTCTGTGAAACCAAGATGTTACTCACAGTTGTTCTTTGTTGCTGCCATGGATGAGTGGGTTTGACATGAGTGTTGATCATTTTCTCTGGAGGGTGGCTGAGTGAGGGAAGCATGAGCATTGGTTCAGGCCTAGCTTCAAGTGTCAGGTCTGCTGCTTGCTAGCTGTGTGAGTAGCCTTGTTCCCTTTGCACCTCTGCTAATTCATCTGTAACAATGCAGATTATAATGTTTACTTGGCCAGGTATTTTGAAGATAAGCAGTAGGGAATCTCTAAAGGAGAGCTTTCACTATCAATGGGAGTTCTGGTGCTGTAGTGCCTAAGGCATTTGACTGTTAACCAGAAGGCTGGTGGTTCAAACCCACCAGCCACTCCTTGGAAGGAAAGTTGGGCAATCTACTTCTGTAGTGATACTGCCTCGGAAATGCAAGGAGGGGTCACTATGAGTCAGATCCGACTCGGTGGCAGTGAGTTTGGTTTGGTTTTTGATCACCATCAACATCCTCATCATATCACCACCACCACTCATTTTCCAAATCAGTAGTGATTTTCCAAAAGAAAATGCAACTGGTAGGAACATGTGAAGATAAATGTTTCTTTCAAGAGCACCCTCATGAGTATACTAGAATGACAAGCCAAATTCTTGTTACATGTACCTTTCAAGCTATGGTTGTTTAGAACCAAGGCTGGAAACATCTTTCTCATCCCTCTTGGTATAAAATGTAGTATCTTGGGTGGTTGACTGTCCCTTAGTCAATGGTATTTATTAAGTGCGTGCTGTGTGTGACTTTCACGGGGGCAACATTTCAGTGAGGAACAGAACAATTGGTTAAATAAACAAGGAAAATATCATATATTGATGAGGGTTCTTTAAGAAATTCAAGTATGATGATGTGATACAAAGTGACTAACAACTTTAGATTGGGCAGTCTGGGATGCCTCTCTGACAAAAACTTGTCAGTCATTTTCTGACCAAGCACTTTCCAGATAGAAGGAACAGTGTATAGTGCCAGGATCAGCTCCATATGTTCAAATACTTAAAATGGCAGGAATGTTGAGCGTCGTGCAAAGAGGTGGGAAAGAGACCAGATGATATATATAGTTTTGAAAGACTAGCTACTATGTGGATTATAGAGGGGAAGGGATGGAAAAATGGAATCAGTGGACTATTATAATAGTTGAAACAAAGATGATGGGGACAAAGAAGATGGTAGCAGTGGAAGTGGAGAAAAATGGTTACATTCTGAATATGTAGTGGGTATATGGTCATCCTGTCTTGGTGATGGATTGGCAGGAAGGGCTTAAGGAAACTAGGGGGTAACCCTTAGATTTTTGACTTAAGCAGCTGGGTAGGTGGTATCAGCGATAACTGAAATGGAGAAGTAGAGAAGTAGAGGGACTGGGGAGAGGGTAAACAATGGGGAGTTTTGTTTTGGCCATGTAGTGTTTGACAACACTATTAGATATCCACATGACTGTGTCCAAAAAAGACATTGGATATAGGAATGTAGAATTCCAAGTAGAGATGAAAATGAAAGACTCTTCCTGCTGCTTTGCATTTTCTGAATGAGCTGTCACTGATTGTCTATCTCCATTTACAATCCTCACATCAATGAAGCAGTTGAATGCAATCAGGAATTGACCCAACCCATCAGCAGTTTGATGAATCACTTAATATGAGGCTGGGTGGAGTAGTCGGAGCTGGCTAAACAGAGTTGCACAGAACCTAGTGACAGACAACAGGAGAGCCACCAAGTGGACTTAGCTGAGTTTCTGTGACTGGTTTCCTATTGCTAGGCCATGGCTCTAAGCTAAGCATATTGAAATATATCTAAGGGTCGGTGCTTCTGTTGGTCAGCTGTGTGCCTGTCCCTCCCTCTTCTCTCTGAGCCTCTTTTCCTACTTAGAAGATTGGAGACATAAATTGTTTATTTTGTTTCATTTTTTTGTTCACTGAAAATTCTACCTTGTAATTAACTTTTGCACCATTTCAGTTTTTGTGCATCATTCTGGTTCTTGTTATAAAAATTCCATACATGTTGCCATTAAGCCAAATGTGCCTGGTGTTTTGTCAGCTTTTCTGTCAGTGCTGATGAATTCCTAAAGTTACATAAGCTCAGCTGGACAGAGTAGTTTTTAGTGGTGGTGGTGGTTTTTTCTGGCTCCCAGTGGGAACTGACATTTAAAAATCTTTCCCAAAAAGAGAATCCTTTTGGCTCAATGTGGAATAAAATTGATCTGAAAGTTCTTTCTCGTGTATTTAGAAACTCCTCATCATTCTGCACTTCAGCAGTAAATTATAATATCAGGGAACCTCCCAGATCCAATGTGTTGAGACCCCCACACTATGAAATTCCTATGTAAGCAAAAATTTAAAGGTGAGACAATTGCCAAGTTCAGGCACTTCTCTTTAGCAGATGGTAAGTGAGGCGGAGGGGTGGGGAGAAGTTGAATGTCCACAGTGCTTCAGGTGAGGGATGTGCAGACAAAGGCAGGTAAAGGCAGAAACTGACCTGCAGTTCAGCAGAGCATAAGTTACTCTGGGCAGTGCAGATGGTTTGCTCCAGACTGCTCACCTAAAGGTTGGCATTTCAAACCCGAACATTGGCACTGTGGAAGAAAGGCCTGGAAGTCTGTTTCTGCAAAGGTTACAGCCAAGAAAACCGTGTGAAGCAGTTTACTTGGAATCAACTCTCTGGTTATGGGCTTGTCACTCTAGCTCTCCAGTTCACTTCTTGGGGCTCCAGGAATAGCTTTCAGCTTCCCACTTCTATAGATAGAAGATTAAATTGCACTTTGCTGTTAAACAAGAAGCTGAATTCCTTTCTATTTATTGAACTGCACGTTCAGTGGAAATCTGTCCTATTGACACCAGTGTCTAGGCATCTCGGAGGAAATGTACTGACTCTGAGATGCAGATTTAAAACAGCTACAAATCTTCAGAAGGGAAGTTACCATTTTTTTCTGATTGCAAAGCTGTGAATCACTTTCTTGTGCTGATTAGTTTAGGCACATTGTTTTTCTGAACCTTCTCTCTGGAGTCCTTGTCTCTGATTCTATTTCTACTTGGCTGTGGTCTTCTTATAAGCAGAGGCAAGTCCCCCATTACAGTTTGCTGTTTTGTGACACCTGTTGAAGTTTTACCTTAGCAGGTAAATAGCTAAGAGAAATTGTAAATTATTTCTGATTAATATGAAAATAAAGAAGATTTAGGCCTTCCAAATGAAAACAATTTAAATAGACATTTTTAAAACCAGGTGTCAGATTGCTGTGATTTACACTTCTCGCAGTCCTTGGAAGTCAAAGCCCTTTTGATCCGTTCTGCCATTATTATCACCTGCCCCCTCCACCTACCCTTCTGCCGAGGAGGGTTGGTTCCCCTTGAGCATGTGGTATTTCCATCAGCTTACCAGGTTAACTTTGTTTAGTACTGGTGAGTGAAACTCAGCCTTTGCCTCTTATGAATTTGCTCGGGACTGATTCAGTTGATGGTACTAAAGTGTTACTGTATCTCCAGAGTTAGCAGTGCAGCTGATGTGCTTAACTTACAGCTCTTGTTAGTAAGAAAAGTCAGCAGAGTCATTGCCCAGGAAGGTACCTCTCATGTTACGAGGACCTTGGAACTGGAAGAGTCAACAAACATAGAGGATGAAAAGTTCTTCCTCCGGTCTTCAAAAAAGGCATTTGCCCTCTAAATCAATGTGTATGCTTTCAGAACCTAATACTGTGTCCCTGCCCACAGGATGGTCACCAAAGGCAACCAAAGCCTGTTAGACTCTGACCATGACTCTGTTTCTGAACACTTATTTTTGAACACAGGACTCCATTTTTGGACTAGTGAAATATTCAGGATATAAATCTTTTAAAATGCAAAGCCTTCCTACTTGTTTAAAAATTAACCACATAGGTTACAAATGAAAGCCTATGGCTCTAAGAAGTGTTGTGATTCAAAAGGCACACACTGCCTACTCAGGGAAGATCACTGGTACTATCTCTTCCAATGTGAACCTATGTTGATGTTCCAGTTATTTTACAGTCTCTGCTTTTCAGAATTACTTCTATAGTTTTTGTTCTTAATAATGGAATTTCCTAAATTTTTCCTAAAACAGTTATTGTTTTATTTTAAAATTGCTAACATTTGTTGAATGTTCATGTGCTACTTACTCACTGTACCTACACTTATTAGCTCACTCAATTCTTATGGAAATCCCCATGGTTGGTGTTGTTAAAGCCACCTTTTGAAATAAAAGGTAACCTTTAAAAAAAAAAAACAACTTTTCATTATTACAACAGTAGTAATGTGCATTGTAGAAAGTTAGAATATACACATAAAGAAAATGTTGTTGTTGTTGTTGTTAGGTGCCATCTAGTCGGCTCCAACTCATCACGACCCTATGTCCAACTGAACGAAACGGTGCCCAGTCATGCACTGTCCTCACCATTCCTGCTATGCTTGAGCCCCTCATTGTAGCCACTGTGTCAATCCATCTTGTTGAGGGTCTTCCCCTCTTTCTCTGACCCTCCACTTTACCCAACATAATATCTTTTTCCAGGGACTGGTCCCTTCATACAGTATAACCAAAGAAGGTGAGATGATAAAGAAAATTTAAAAAGTAAACATACTATACTCAGATTACCATTAACACATTAATGTGATAGTCTTCCCAGTT